TTTTCATAGGAAAACCTTGAGATAAAATTAATTGAAATTTTCTCCTCTCCTCCTCTCCCCCCAAACTTTGCGAAGTGGCTAAATTCTAGTGTTTTATGTTTTGGATTTTTCAAAATCTGATATAGTCTGAAAAAGCTAGCATGCAAAAAGCAACCTTCCCCAAACTTATAGCCATCATTCATTCCTTTAAATTTGTTGGTAAAAAAGGAATGAAAGTAGAGAGGTGTGAAATTAAAAAAAAATCTGAAGTAAAAATTTTCATTTTGCTTTGAAACTTGTCAGGAAAATTTTGAAACATTTTTTTTCCACCTGTAAGCACTGTTGTATTTTGACAAAATCCTGTTTTTTCATTAGGAAAATGTTTTGACTGAAAAACTGTGACCAGTTCTGTTAGTAATATATTGTAAGCACCTTAATTTGCATTGATAAACATTTTCCACAACAGAATTATAGAGAAATAGTTATGCTGTTTTCTCATGTTTCTGTCTTTCAGAGAAGACTTAAATTCTCTGGGGGTAACTCTTCTGTATGACTCAGGCCATGTCTTCACTTTCCAGATATCAATCTTCTGGCATTTGATTTAGCAGGCCTAATTAAGTCCCGCTAAATCAAATGCTGAGGGAGGCTCTGGTCGGCAGCAGTACTCCTTGTGACTGCGCCTGTCAGCCTCCCTCTGTGAAGATGGTGCCAAGCTCGGCTTAAGATAAGATAAGCCTACTTCAGCAACATATTTTTTATAGCTGGAACTGCATACCATAACTTGACCTTCTGGGTCTAATGTCGACTTAGACTTAGTGACTTTGTTCTGTGGAATTATTGGTTTCAAGTTTCCGTTTGCCAAATTGATATTGAGTCCTGATTCTTCTTTTACTTTCCTCTCCTCTAAACCACTAACACAAGTGCAAAGCAAGTGTTAAATGCTGCCATGTTTCTCATAGACTTTAGTAGAGCTGGATCAGATCCTAAAGCACAACTTGGGGTTTAGGGCAATTGAAATTCAGGGATCAATTTAATTCCATTACTCTACTTATAGGATACTAAGCTCCCGTTGGTAAAGAATTAAGTCATCTTGGGTTATGTAGCTTCTGAGTAAAGCGTACTCTCTTGTTCCAATAAATCAAGCTTGTAATTCTTACTGGAAATGTATTATCACAGTTTAAGGCTGTTGTCATGCTCTCCATTAATAACCTTTATTTCCATAGGTTTATGGAGGAATTCTAAAATGTTGATAGACTGAAATTAGCCGTAAATTATTTCAGTACAGAAACCATTTTAAATGCACACATTTGCAGTGTTGCTTCACACTAGTATAACTGAAAAATGACACCCTGCTAATGATTAGCCCATCATATAGTCTAATTGCTCTTATATTGTGCAAATCAAAATAACACGACACAGAAATTAAACCTTTTAAAAGTGGCTTCTGTTCATGTACAATAACTGCTTGCTGGATTTTCAGTAAGGCTTTTTTTGAGATCTTTACAGAAGTTTTCACTCTGCTTCTAATTTAGTGCCTGCAGTAAACTGCAGGTAGCATCAATTATAGGCACAAATGAAAGGATTCGGGCAACTAGCTACCAAGAAATCCCAGATGTAGAAATGTGGGTGTTAAATTCAAGCAGTTTTTCTAATCCTTTGTTTTCCAAAATATGTGAGCAAGAGTGTCACCTCATTGGAGTCAGTAGGGACCAGCCTGGACAGACCACTGGGTCCATGCAGGACCTCATGAATGTCAGTGGGTGCCATATAGCAGCAGTTCCCAGCAGCCAGGCTGCAAACAGCTAGTTGCCAGGCTGTGGCGGCTGTTGGAGCTCAAGCCTGCTGTTCCTCCAGCAGCTGTGGTGGCTCAGGCGGCGGCTGCAGGAGGCAGAGAAGGAGGTGCCTCCCCATTCTGTGCTTGGGGAGGGAGGGGGCATGAAGGAGGAGGGAGGCACGCA